AGCAGCACCTTCTTTTGAAATCCTTCCCCCCCCCCCGGCATAGCTTCATCGGTTGAACATCCGCCTCTCCGAAGAGTCCCCCTTGTGCAGACGGGAAAACACCGGCTTTCGTTCCGTCCTCGAAAAAGTTTCCCTGGCTGGCCGGTGGTGTTCTCCCCCCCCCAAAAAAAAAGGTAGAAGGAGGAGCAGCATTGAAATAAATAACGGGAATGAATAAATAAATTAAGGAATAAATATGCCCACGGTGTTCCGAAGAGTGTCTCCCGTATAGTGTCCAAAGGATTCAAAAGTTTCTCGCAGGGTGCAAAGACAGAGGGGGGGGGATTGCACCAGGGGGGGAAACCCCTTGGGAAGACCTTTATGGGAGCAAAGTGGGTGTTTTATTGCTTTCGTTGAGTTGAAGGAAGTGGGGAAAAAAAGAAGAAGTCAGAAAGCAGATGGGCTTTGTAGTCCATTTTAGATATCTCGTTCTCTAAACGACTCCTAGCTGGATTCACACGACACGTAAGATTGATTCGACGCTATTCCTGCGTTCACGCGTTACGCCGGGCCCCAAGCAATCACCTTATGGCTTCAAGCCCCCGGCTGAGGCAGCAGGGGTACTCCAGGTCGGACCAGGTGCCCCTAGTCCCAAATCTCATCCAGGTAGATATGAACATCTTCATTCTTTCAACCTTCCTTCATTCATTCATGCATTCCCTTTGTTTCCTGTGGGTGAGTTAATTTCAAGGTTGCGGCAATGTACAATGTGTCCATGTTTGCAGGCTGCATGCAGCAGGAATGAGAACCCCCACTGCAGCCTGGTCCGGTTGTGTTGTGCAAATCCAGCTGTGGGTAGCATTCACGCAGCATGCTTAAGCCAGGTGTTTGAATCCATCCATCGTCTAGATTTGCACGGGTCTACGACGCATGAATTCATCGAGGAGTTTGCAGGCAGCTCACCTTCCGGATGCTTCACCTACACACGTACGGGACCTGAGCAAAGCTAAGTACGAACCAAACTTAGCACGTAGGGCAGGTGGGTCCACCGTCTTGACGTCGTTGGGTTATACCTGTTGTGTGAACCCAGCCGCTGAGTTTTAGGAAGAGAGTTTCGCTGAGGTTGCAGTGATCGCCTTCCGTCTGCAGACCGAGGACCCCTGTCAACGCGGCATCCTATGATTCTTCCCACGGGTCCTCCCGGCTACAGCGAGATGTCTTTGTGTGTGTGTGTGTGTGTGTGATGTGGGAATCAATCGCAGGACGGCCAGAGGAGGCTGCAGGCGTAGGACCCTCCCTGCCCCAGCTGGTGGGGGGGCGGGGAGGGTCAGTTCTCTGCCGGGCAGGCGTGTTCGGGCCCTTTGAAGCAGGCCGACTCGTAGTGTTTGTGGAGGTAGGATTTGAGAGCGAAAGTCTTGTGGCATTGCTTGCAACGGTAGTGCTTGAGCGCCGAGTGAGTTTGCATGTGCGCCCGCAGGTTGGAGCGGTCGGCAAAGGCCTTCCCGCAGTGCGAGCAGCCGAAGGGCTTCTCCCCGGTGTGCGAGCGCATGTGTCCCTGCAGCAGCCACGGCCGGCTGAAGGCCTTGCCGCAGACGGCGCACTTGTGTTTGAGGTTGTGGGTCAGCAGGTGCATGGCCAAGGCCGGCATGGAGACGTAGGCTTTGCTACACGTCGGGCACTTGCGCGCCAGCTTGCTATCCAGGCTGCGGTGCGTCTGCTTGTGCCGGCTGAGGTTGGAGGAGGTGGCGTAGGTCTTGCCGCATTCGGTGCAGGCGTGGCGGTGCGCCCCGTGACGAGGGCCCTCGGCTCGCCGGCGGGATCGTCCGTCGATGATGAAGAAGGCATCCATGGAGTAGCTCTCGGTGACGGCCGCTTCGCCCTGGAAGTAGTGAGAGGAGAGGCTGGACTGGGGGCTCTCGGGGTCGCTGTAGTCCTCCTGGATGGGGGTGTAAAGGGGGTCGGGAGAGGCCCCCCGGCGATGGGCTTTCTTCTTCTCATTCTTGTAACCTGAGGAGGGGAGGCAGGCCGGGATGTATCCTGCAGGAGAGAGAGACAGGTGGGAAACATTCGGTTATCAACCGGTATCTCTCCACCAATCATCAGCACCCAGAGCCTCAACTCCAAGGTTAACTTAAAACACACCCTCCCCCTTCCTTCCTTCCTTCCTTCCTTCCTTACTTCCTTCCTTCCTTCCCTCCCTCCTTCCTTCCAATCTCTTTCCCTCCCTCTCTTCCTGCCTTCCT